CCATTCCCTTATGAACCATAGCATAGATGAATCCGACAACGATCAGGTTCCATAGCTTATGTTTGATTAGAAACCATGCGATTGTGATTCAATGGAGTGAGAGAATCGAACTGACCATAGAAAAGATGACCATATAGTCATCCCACCACAGCTTTTGCATCCGCTCATAACGGGCGAGTAGTCGAAGACAAACCGTCACGAAGGCCAGCACCGTGACAGAGGCTGTGGTAGCTATAGACCATGACTGCAGACTGTCCTGGTTGCTTTCCATGACGTTTGGCTCAGGGAGGAAAACATAGAAACAACCCAGCAAATGTTGGGCAATACAACCTTATGTGTGGAGCACGGAGTATGCCGAGTTTCTGCATCGTAAAGTGCCCATCTTTGTGTGTCGACCACACGGCTCGTAAAATTCCAGGAATTCCACTTTTGAACGTTTACCTGACAAGCTTGGCGTCTGGAGTTTTGAACTTACTTCGGTAGTTGGCCCCCACCGGGTTAGGGATCTGCTCTGGTTGCACTAATATCACACTTATACATGTTATGTATTGTTTATATGTATCATTCATATGTATCATTCATATGTATCATTCATACGTATCATTAATATACAACATATGTGTCACTATGTAAAGTAAGCTTTAGGAACTATCGAGTAGATGAATGGCCTGCATATATCTGAAGAATATCCACGTGGATGCAAGGGTTGTAAATTCCTTTTTAGGGAGGTTGTGGCTGAAAATACGGAGGCCCACTCTATGAAACAAGAAAAAGTAGGATAATTACTCCGTACAAGTTATTAAACGAGAAAAGAACTAAAAATGGAAAATGATGAATCCTTTCATTTGATTTTAGGACTATTGCCTGGCTTAGTGGTATTCGTTAGTTTCCATTAGCCGAAAATTACGGAGTACATAGGTACTAATTGTACTTCGTTACCATCTCCAAAAGGGCCTCATTCACCTCCTTTGGATTGGTGGCGTTCAAGTAATGGGCACCTCCTTCAATCATCACAAGTTTAGCCTCCACAGACGAGGTAAAACGCTTAATGTGCTCTGCAGGAACGATCGTTCCGAAAGGAGTGTCTTCAGTTCCCTTATCGATTCGTTAATGCACAAATCATCTATATCAGTAGACTGGGGACTCACCTGTAGCCAATAAACAGGACATTTGATATCCCCGATCCGGAGCAGGAGCCCATCCCTCTCCAATAGGCAATTGAGCGCCATTCGAACCTTTTTCCGGCCCTCATCACCCTTATACACTTCCTTCAATGTCTGAGTCCAGAATGCAGATCTCGTTTCAGTGGCAGCGGCACCAAAGCCGATTCCCCCCACCAGTCCGCACCAGACGTCATCCACAACGAAGTCGGGTGTAGCCGAGGAGCTGGTCCACTTCTCAAAGAACACCGTGAGATTGGCAGCAGGATCCCAACAGCCCTTGGACCGAGAATCCGAGGATTCATAATCCATGGAGGTTCCGAGGGGCATAAGACCGAGAATCTAGTAATATATTAATACTATTGGTTTGGCTTGGCTTGGGGCATAATCAGCAGTTCATTGACCCTAGGGCTTGGACCTACCCTCTCTGGGGCTAGGAGGGCCATCCTAGTCACGATCCATCCACCCTGACTTGTCCCCAGCACAAAGGCTTTCTGAATCCCAAAGTGGTCCATGACCTGTAAGGCCATGTGTGCAGAATCCCAGTACGTAAAGTGTTCCGAGGGAGAACTGGTCGAGCCATGGCCTAATGGCTCAATAGCCAGAAGATTCATGGCATCAGTCAAAGCCTCATTGTTGAATTGATCATGGTAGAGAGACACCGTCATGCACATCGAATTCATAAGCACACATGTCGGCTTGGAAGGATCATAATGGTTCTTAGAGAAGGCGTACCCAGCCTTGATGCCACCAAGGTGTGGAACTTCGACAGTTTGCGGCGCAGCCATTTCGTAATAACCAGTGGTCTTCGGGCTGAATATTTGATTTATCCACGGAGTACGGCGGACTTTGGAGGGAAAAGGAAGTCAATATGCTAGGGGAGTTAGCCGAGTTAGCCCCTCCATACTCCGTATGGAGCATGTAAATCCCGAGACTTGTGCAACGCCCTCGGTATTTCGTCCCAAATTAGCGATTGATCTCCAATTGACCGTCTTGTGGAGTCGTTTGGGCAGACGGTTTGTCAGGATTTGCTTGGCTTAAGACCAATATACCTAGGTACTCCCGGGGTCCGTACTAAAGCTGCCGGGTGGTGGGGCCGGACGCTGTCTGAGATATTACTGGTACATCCACCTTCCAGAAAACGATGCATTATTCGTGTATTGAGGTATTTGTGACGGATATCGCCACATTTAGGGGTTTTTGATACGAAATTGAAGTTGCGAATAATGTCGTGCAACCAAAAGTGCTTAGGAAATACGTTTGACCGATACATTTTAACGCTGATGATCGCCAATCAATGCTTAGGTACGGAGTATGTTGTAGATAGATCTCACCCCCCGGTTTCGAGGAGTTCATCTGATAGAGCATCTGCTTACCCCTTACGCGCGGGGAGCGAACAATGGACGGAATGTTTCTTGGCCTGTAGACCTTGGCGGAGCTGTACTCCGTGCGTGACTATCTAGGTAGCTCGGCGAACTCCTGGCCCGGCGAACAAAATATTACCTAAGCAGGAATTTTCAATATCAAACAAGACAAACACCTTTCATCATTGCATCCCAGCTTGACGGAAGCTCAAAGCACTTTGATCATCATTGCCAGCCATAATGGGAACAGCTAAGGCCCGCGCTCCTCCAAGGACACCTGCAACTCCAACACAGCCCGTGGAGACCTCACGGTACCTTCCCGAGAAGACCTTTATCATCGACAATGGCGCCTATATGATAAAAGCCGGCTACGCTTCTCATGCCTCGGCCTCCGACGAAAGCATTTCCGGCTGCTCATCGATACCCAATGCTCTCGTTAAGACACGCGATAACAAGATCGTCATCGGTGCACAGTTAGCCACAGTTAACGACTGGAATGAGGCGATGTTCCGGCGCCCGGTGGAGAAGGGATATGTTGTGAACTGGGAAGCCGAGAGAGAGATTTGGGACCAGTCTTTCTTTGATGGGAAGGTAACGGCTCGGAATAAGAGTTATCACATCGCGGATCCGGAAGACACTACCCTTGTGCTTACTGAGGCACCGAACGCCTTGCCAATCTTACAACGGCACGCTGATGAGATGGTTATGGAGGAATGGGGATTTGGGGGATATGCGAGATGTTTGGGTACGGTAGTCGGATGACTTGGTGCCGCATATGATGCCGTACTGACTCGAGGTCTTTAGGTCCAACCCTTAACGCATGGAACGAAATCCACTCTCTCTTCGGCGATCCTGTCTCTAATACATCCGACGCATCTATCTTGCCCGCAGATTGCTTACTCGTCGTTGATTCTGGCTACTCGCACACCACAGTGACGCCGGTTTACAAAGGCCAAGCTCTTCAACGCGGAATCCGAAGACTCGATCTTGGAGGCAAGCACCTTACAAATTATCTGAAGGAGATCGTGTCAATGAGACAATACAACATGGTGGACGAAACGTATATTATGAACGAAGTCAAAGAGGCGGTCTGCTATGTCAGCAATGACTTTTCTGGTGATTTGGAAAAAGCGTGGAAAAGTGGCCAAAAGCGCCAGGGTGGCCCCGAAGAGGGAATCGTGTTGGACTATGTGCTTCCAGACCCGAATGCAAACAAGAAGGGCTTCATTCGACCGCATGACCATCTTCTGCATGCCAAAAAGAAGAAAGGGGCAGTTTCCGGGCTTAGCGCGGAGGTGTTGTCGGAGGATGTACTGGTGCTGGGTAATGAGCGCTTTACTGTCCCGGAGCTTCTATTCACCCCCGGAGATATTGGCATGAAGTCAGCCGGCGTACCCGATATGATTCTTCAAAGTTTGTCGGTTCTGCCTACTGGCCTGCACTCCGCCTTTTTGGCGAATGTTCTCGTTGTCGGAGGAAATGCTTTGATTCCGGGATTCATGGAAAGACTGTGAGTTCTCGGGAGTCAATTGGTTGAAGTTTCTACTGACAAACTACCTTATTACAGAGAAACCGAATTGCGACAGATTGCCTCTGCTGAATGTGTCGTGAGAGTACGCCGGGCTAAGGAGTGAGTGGTCATCCCATCTGGTTATCTTTGCCTTTGAAAGTACTAATATTAATAGCCCTGTTCACTCAACATGGCTAGGAGGCACTCGCCTTGCAGCGAACAGAGAGGAACTCAGCAAAGTATCCATCACTCGCCAAGAATATCAAGAATACGGGTCAGGATGGGCTGTTCGACGATTTGCCGGCCTTGTGTAAGGTCCCAATCGCTGTTGGATTAAGTATGGGAGTTTTAACGATGGCCGAAATAGACAGCGTTTGCATTTAGTGATACCCTAGTTTTCAATGTCTGTGGTCAATGTACAAAATATTTTGGAACGCGTATATAAAAGTTTTCAAGGCTAGAACGCCGTACTCCTCACATTACGATGTGATTATTCGCTCTAATTCTGGAATAAGCTGTGTTTTTACCTGTTTGGGAAATTCCCAGATCCATGGATCCACGGCTGCTGTTCACGTTCACCTCTAGGTACCTAATGTTTGGGCTATTAACTTAAGCACTTGGAAGACATCTCTATCATTGTCGCGATCCAATGGAATAAAGGAGAGACCCAAGAAGAGTTGGTCTCGCCAAAGCCCTCTTAATGCGCTGACTACAAGACAGCAACCTAAGATGTAGCCGTCATCCCCGAATTAGCTATGGGCTCTTCAGGAACAAGAATAGAAATAGCGTTTCCCCATCCATGGCTATATGTTAGATCCATATATGGCCGAAAGATGAAGCGCACCCTGCGCTTGTACATAAGAGGACGTCTTTCTGCCCTAGTCTCTTAGATCTGGTCATGCACTTTGTCCCTCTTCGAAGGGCCCAGTACCAAATCCCCCAAGTCTATACCGAATCCACGACAGAATGCCTAAGAGCCGCTCGTCCATACAAAAACTCTTAGACTACTTGGAGCGAGTATTCGTATCCAAGAAAGTTAGCGAGGAAGTGGGCCAGTCAGTAAAGCACAAAGCCAATCGAAGCCAATTAGAAGCAATGCACTAACTCTTCACAGATGCACTAGCTGCTTCCGAAAGGTCCCAACGAGCAACTTATTAACTGCTCCTTGTGCACACCAATACTGCCCCTCGTGCCTCCGACGAATGTCCTCAACAGCCTTGAAGAACCCGGACATGTTCCCGGCAAAATGTTGTTTTCAAGAGATCCCCACCAAAGCACTCGTCGAGGTGATGAGTCCTCGAAACAGAAAGCGTTATATCCTTCGATGGGAGGAGAATAACATCCCTCCTCTAGAGCGCTTGTACTGTCCTCGGGCGAGGTGTAGCCGATGGATTCCCCCAAAGAGCACAGAGACACGGCTAGGATACCGTGTCTGTCCTCATTGCCGGGCAAAGGTTTGCTCCAAGTGTGGAGACTTATTCCATCTCGGTTGGTCATGTAGCAGAGACTCTGAGATAAAGGCGATGCTGCAACTGGCAAAGGACAATAATTGGCAAAGATGTTCCAATTGTCTGTATTTGGTTGAGAAGGTGGATGGATGTAACCACATCGTTTGCAGGTGTGGGCATCGATTTTGGTATGTTCATGTTGTGCACGCCCTAGGCAAAAAGTTAACGCTAATCGGAAAATAAGTTATCTTTGTGGCCAACGCGGCCGTTGCGGATGTCCTGCACGTGGCGAAGATGAAGACCTGGATACAGATGGGGATATTGATGTCAATACGCTGGCCGCTACAATGGAGCAGGGAGAATCGGCGGGTGAACCTTCTTGGTAGGAGGGTGAGGCTTAGAGAATGGATCAGGGCGGGTAACCAATATTTATTTTCAGCAAATCGCGATCTAGATTAATATGATGCAGGAAGGGTATCTTGATCGAAATGCTTATTCTCCATCCGGGACGCGCACAGCAACTAGTAGTCGTAGAAACCCTTGCCGCTCTTCTTACCAAGCCAGCCAGCGTCCACCATGCGACGCAGAAGACCAGCAGGTCTGTACTTGCTGTCACCAGTGTCCTGGTGAAGAACGTTCATGATTGCAAGGCATGTGTCGAGGCCAATGAAATCAGCCAAGACGAGGGGGCCCATGGGCACGTTGGTGCCCGTTTTCATGATGTTGTCAATGTCCTCACGTTGACCAACCCCAGTCTCCAGACAAATCACGGCTTCGTTAATGTAAGGCATCAAGATACGGTTGGCGAGGAAGCCAGGTGTGTCGGCAGACACGGAGGCCACCTTACCCATCCGCTGGACAAAGGCAATGGCAGTGTCCATGGTCTCCTGGGATGTTTGGAGCCCGCGGATAATCTCAACACCCTTCTGGATGGGAACAGGGTTCATGAAGTGGGTTGAGATCACCCGGGAGGAAGCCTGAAGGTCGGTGGGGTCCGCGCTGGTGGCAGCAGCAATCTTGGTGATGGAGATGGAGGAGGTGTTTGTTGCGAGGATGGCATGCTTCGGAGCGATCTGGGCCAAGCTAGCAAATATCTTTGTCTTCAGATCTGGGATCTCAGGCACAGCCTCGATGACGAAGTCAACTGCGGAGAGACCGTCGAGCGTCAAACTTGTAGTAATTAGCCCGCGAGCTTCATCAGCTGCCTCCCGAGTGAGACGCTGCTTTGCTACATCCTTTTCAAGAAGTTTATCTATTATCCAATGCCAAGTCAGACAATTCCAGGCCATTGCAGTAAAGTAAACCGGAGCTCGGCATACCGGCAAACTTGAGGCCCTTATCCAAAGAGGCCTGCGAAGTGTCGACGAGAGTTACCGGGACATTTGCTTTCTGTGCAGCGACGAGGGCAATTCCCAATCCCTGAAAAGTGTGAGACTTGCAGCGTGGTTGTATATTCCGAGTTACACACCATTTGGCCCGCACCGACAACGCCCAGTGACTTGACCTCGGCTGCCCGGACTGCAGAGGTTGAGCAGAAGTTTCGGGCCACCGTAGGGCCTCTGCGAAGGGAAACAAAGCGAAGAGTAGAGGTAAGCATGGTTGCAGTGGTTTCCGGAGCTATGGAGAAAAATGGACAAAAAGTAGTGAAGAATGTAAGTGCGAAGAAGCAAGTCAAGTATACTGCTATGACTTCACGTGCTTTCGGACGTCATCGTATGGCGGTTAGCAGTGGCCATTCAAGCATATATTCCACCGCCTTATATATAGGCCAGCCACGTGCTCGATCATTTCTCTATCGAAGTGCTTTGACCTCATGTATGATATTTTAGACTCATGAGCATAGAGCAAAGCTGAGAATATAAGCTGAGTAGAAATTATGGGGCTGTCTGCTATCCATATAGTTCAGAAGAAGGGCCGAAGAATATTGAATTCCGAAGGTTTAAGTACTCTAGGAACCCAACAATCCTGGAAGTGATTTTGATAAAATTCTAGTGAGCAATCATAGTTCTTGCAACAGCTAGTCTTGGCTAGATTGTGTTGAAAATTCAGCTTCAAAGGCATCCCAGGTGGTAGATCGAAAATGATTATGATTGTTTGTCGATCAAGAAACAGAGCACTCGATCAAACTATCACAATAGTATGCGTCCTTTTCAAGAAACAATAAGTTCAAAGGGGTCCCTAGGTAACTCTACTCAGATCTACTCGGTATAGATCTGACATTTCATTTTGCCATATACTGCGAAGTGGCCGTAGATACGCGGCGTAAGCGTGTCGGTTATCTTCGGCACTTTGGCGGCATCCAGTTTCTCCGAACCGCCGAAGCCGAACACGCGTCGACGCGTTCCCATTCAACTCGATTCGGGAAGGAATTGATGGGGTATCAAACTAGCCCACCATGGATGAAGAGGTTGTTCCTCTAGGACACGACGTGCAAGTTGTGGACCCAGACGTGCGCAACTATGTTTACGGCCTGGTTACTGCTGTGAGTTCACTTCAACTTTCTCCTTAGCCCGGTTCTGGGTCAATTCACTGATACGCTTGGTTATCTAGCTTGGAGGATTCAATGGCGAAAATGCCGACCAATACGTGCTCGGAGACGATGCGCTGGCATGTCTACGCGACATTAAACGCTGGTTGAAATTGTACGATGAAAAAAATAACCGGATGGACGTTGCGCGATGTCTTGGGGAGGCCAACTTGATCAATGGTGATCTGCTTCCGATCCTCTCGCTCTGGTGGGCTAGTGGACAGAACAGCAAGCATATGACCAGGATTGCACTGGCGTGCTTGGAACTTCTTGTTCCCCTAACATGGCCCGTGGAGTTCCATAGCCAAATGACAGTAAACCACCATCGTCATACCCCCTACATCCAACAGACACAGGTGCAATACAAGCGAGGTATCCTCAGATCTGGGGGATTGAATCTCCTTCGCGCAGTCATTCGAATTTCTCTCCCAAGCATGGCGACCCCTCGAATCCGAACGTGGAACCCGAGACGAAGGAATCCTCAAGTTGATGTTGTACTTGCTGCGGAACATTGCGATTATATCCCCCAATACCAGACTTGCGGCAGAAGGCGACGAGGAGGAGACATCCAGATCGGCAACGATCAACGCCTTCCATGAGCAAGATGCATTTGCACTTCTCCTCACTATGTGCTCCAATGTCGGCGAAGACTTCAACCTTCAAGATATTCCTCTGATGGAGACCCTTTTCCATATCGTCAAGGGTGTCAATGTTGAGAAGTTGTTTATGGACGATGAGCAGAGGACGGCTAAGCGAACCGACGAACTCAGCGACCTACTGAAAAAGGAATCGTTAGTACGGAGAGAATACGCAAAGAATGCACCTACACGCCATGGACGATTCGGTACAATGATCTGGGTCAAGCGAGACGATGCGAAGGTCTCTACTGTCTCTGGACAAGGCGTCTTGCGCGACGACCAGACCACACTACAAAAGATGGACGAGAGTAAAAAGTGGAATAAGCCTCGGCCTCGCCGCAGACAAGAAGATGTGGTCCAAAACAATAACTTCAACATGCCAGCCCACCTTAATTCCGAGGCAACTAAGAACCTGAGGACGTTTGTGGAGGAGTTTTTGGATTCTGGGTTCAATCCTTTATTCACCCATGTTCGAAAAGCAATCGAGCGTGAAGCTGAGCGTGTGATACCGATCAATCATCGCCAATTCTTCTATACGGTCGGTTGGTTCTTGGAAGCAGAGCGCGTACGACGGGCTCGACAGCTCCGCCACCGGACGGCTCAGAATGGAGGAAGAACCAAAGATATTGATCCCGATAGCTATGGTCTGGTTGCTGGCGTCCTGAACCAAGAGACGTTCATTTCTTTGAACCGGGCTATGCAGAGTAGCCTGGACAACAAGGAATGGGAAGACCTCAATGCCCAGATGCATTGCTTCACCCAGATTCTGTTGACTGTCCAGGAAATGGCACTGTCACCGCTCGAAGAAGATCAGGAAATTGCGGAGAATATCCAAAACCGAATTTTCTATGAAGAAACCACCCATGACCGGATCCTTACTATTGTGCGCGGATACAAAGACCAAGGCTTTGGTTACTTAGATGCCTGCACAGAGTTAGCCCATGTGTTCCTGCGGATGCTGGAGCGCTATTCCAAAGACAACGTCGACATGCAAATCCGTTCCCGGCGAAAGGCCAGGAGAAGGCAAAAAAAGGCTGCTCAAGTTGCCGAGCAAGAGGGAGAAGATGACGACGAGGAGCGTGACTCTGAAGATGAAGACATGGAGGAAGCCGCCCAGGTCACTAAAGAACGCAGCTTTGACTTCAAGCGATTCTCAGCCAAGTTCTGCAACCAAAGCTGCGTGGACACCTTTATTGCGTTCACAGGATTCTACCGAGAGCTTAACTCTGAGCAGCTTAAACGCGCCCACCGCTATTTCTACCGGATTGCATTCAAGCAGGAGATGACTGTTTTGCTGTTTCGTGTGGATATTATCAGCCTTTTCTACCGAATGATTAAAGGTCCAGGCTCCATGGACCCAAACATGTCTGTATTTAAGGAATGGGAGGAATTGGTCCGGCAAGTCATTCGACGACTCGTCAAGAAGCTCGATCAACGCCCCGCCTTGGTCACTGAATTGCTGTTCAGCAAGATCAACTCCACTGTCTACTACCTCGAATATGGACACGAAAAGCAGACGATCTCCACCTATAAGCGTCCACCACCGGAGCTTGTGATTACATCGACGGATGCGACGACGAAGGAAGCGAAACTCCACATCGTGATTGGTGCTCTTGTTCTCGATGGTAGAGCAGATCTGGTAACATGGATCAAGGATGTCTTGAGCTCCGCAGCCTCCGAAAGAGAGGACTGGGAAACCCAAGAAGAAGTCCGTCGTGCCGAGAACCCCGAGACTATCAGCGTTCCCAATCCGATGATAAGTATGTTCCCCTAACACCCTCCTTGTTTCTCAATCGATGCTAATAATGAAACAGCTGTCAAAGGTAAGAATGAGTTCGTTCAGAATGCCATGTTCTCGAACGCAAAGTTACGTCTGCTCATGACAGTCGTCGGATTCGAGCGACTCGGCGTTGAAGATGTGCATGGTGCCTCTTGGGTCGTTCCAGCCTCTCTCAAGTCCGACGACTTGCGTGAAACAATTTCTGCAATCCTGAAAGCCCTCCAGACCCCGTTCTCCGGAGATGGCAATGATGATCCTCGCAAGTATCTCCAACCAAAGAACAGAGGAAGCGGTCGCGGAAACATGACCCAAGGCACACTGAATGTCAACTTCGGGTCAGAGTCCGAGGGCGAGGACATTCCAGATGGTCCCTTATTCCCGGCGAATCCGCGATCAAAGTCTAGTGCGCTGGATGACCTCAAAAAGAAGCGTAAGAAGAAGCAGAAGGCCACTACAGAAAGGGAGCCGCTGGACGACGAAACCCTAGAAGCGCGACGCGATGCACGTCTGTCAAACGCACTTTCTCGCCAAGCGAAGATCAAGAGTGATCTATTCATCCATGCCAGTGACGAAGAAAGCGACGAGGAAGCCGACAAAGAGTTCTTCCGGCTCGAAGAAGAGCGGCGAATTAAGCAGGCAAAAGAAATCAAGAAGGCCTTGCTCACTGGGACCGTCGAATCATCAAGCAAGGGCAAAGGGAAGAAGTCTGCCGCCCGCAAGCGAATCAGCGATACTGGCACGTCTGCGGCCGCAAAATCCAAGCGACAACGCCGTGATTCTGGCTCTGCTGCTAGCGGTGCTGAGAGTGATGCTGATGGCGATATTCTCATGGCAGAACTCGACGCTCAATCGTCTCATTCCCAGCAGGGTATTTCTACTAGCCATGGCGCTAGAGAGAACGAAGACACCCCTCTCACATCGGGTGAGGATGACCTTACCTTTGATGATGATTTCGCCTTCACTGGAGATCGCCCGAGCAAGCTCCAATCTACGGAGCCTAAGGCTGTAGATGATGACGAGGAAGAGCCTGTGGCTCCCGCCAGGAGACGTATGCGCGGTGGATTTGTAATTGAGAGTGACTCTGAATAGTGGGTTCACTTCATATTTGTGACATGTTTTCGATTATGATGACCTGATGAGGCGTTTGGCATTGAGATGGAAAAGGAATTGGATAGCATCGGATACCTAAGCCCAATGAGAACAATTTTACGACTTAATATTTCCTTTCTGGCCTGGTGGGATATCTGCCAAGGATGTCACAAAGCCAAGGCTGCGTGATGAAGCAAAGGGAGAAAAATACGAGCTTCCCCACACTTGACATCTGTCTCAACCGCCGTGAAAACTCATCCAAAGCAATTTCGGCTCCTACTGTCTTCTAAGATGGCTCCTGATAGCAAGACTCTAACAGCAGCGTGCCACTGCCAAAGCATACACTTCGCTATAACAATTCCTGCAGACGCCCTTCCCCTCAAAGTCCACATATGCCACTGCAGCATCTGTCGCTACACACATGGCACACCGTGTATTTTCCACGCCCCGCTACCAGCAGGGGTAGCACCGCAGTTCATCGCTCCATCCAGCATAGACAAACTGACACCCTACAACCACGCTGAGTCCCAGGCAGCGCGGCATTTCTGCAGTACGTGCGGCTGCCACATGGGTGATAGATCACACGATGACGGGAGCTGGGTGATATCTACGGCTGTCTTCACTGAGCCAAACCAGGGTCTATGGGAGATGCGCACACATGCTTTTACGACCTCCTCGCTTGATGGAGGACTTTCGGCCATGTTCTCGCACGTTGATGGCCGTCAGCTTGACGTCTTTAACCTGGAGGCGTCACTGGATACTATCAAGGCTACCAGAACCGAGGCTGAGGAATTGCGCGCTGAATGCCACTGCGGTGGCGTTTCGTTCTCTATCGCTCGTCCTAGAAAGGAATTCCTCGATAGTCCTGCGAGCGAGGGATGGGTTTTGTCAAGAGATACGACCAAGTGGCTTGCGCTTCTTGATCTCTGTGATGACTGTCGTCTGGTCGATGGGTCGAATGTCATAGCTTGGATGTTCATTCCGGTTGATCACATATCCCCTTCTCCACCGGGAGATTTGATTATCGGGTCGTTGAAGAGTTACAAGTCTAGTGAAGAGGTACTACGGACATTCTGTGGGACGTGTGGCGCAACGGTGTTTTATAGCTGTACTGACCGGCCGGGGATAGTTGATGTGGCGGTTGGAATTTTGCGCGCACCAGAGGGGGTGATGGCTGAGAATTGGGCATTGTGGAGGGGGAGAATTAGTTCGGAGGATGATGGATTGAAGTATGATCCTGACTTTAGTAGGGCGTTGATTGAGGGGTTGAAGGTATGGGGGAGTAGGAAGGGTATGCCGGAGGATTTTGTTCTCCCGCGAGTGTAGAGAACCATCAGATGTCCAGCAAATGCCGTACAACATAGATATTCCGTTTCGATAATTCGATTATTCTAAAGACATGGTCCTTTCCGAATGTAGCGTGATGTTTTGACGATGAGTCAAAGCGAAAAGTGGGGGGATCTTTCAACTATAAAACCCCGACATCCCCGTTGATCTCCGCACGAACATCCAATCTATACCTAGGTAAATATCCTAAACATGACTCACCTTAAATTCGTCACCCTCGATGTCTTCACATCAACACCTTACTTCGGAAACCCGCTAGCAGTAGTTTTCCTTCCAGATGACGACTCAACCGCTCTCACCCAGAGCCAGAAGCAAACCATCGCACGGGAATTCAATCTATCGGAGAGTATTTTCGTGCACCCAGTACGCGAGAAGAGCAAGCGCACCATCGACATCTTCACTACAGACTGCGAAATCCCCTTCGCAGGCCATCCCACCATTGGCGCAGCCTCCTGGTTCCTGAGCCACTCAGTCGACCCCGCTGATGGCGATGGCGTCACCACCCTCGCGACCAAGTCCGGCGATATCCCCATCTCTGTCCAGAATCGCGAGGCCAAATACGTTGCTGCGCAGGTTGCGCACAATACGCGCATCCATACTGCGCGGTTTAGCTTGAAGGAGCTGGTGACGCTGCACCCGACGCTGTCGCCGTTTTTTACACGACCAGATGTTACTTTCCCGCTCTTTTCCATTGTCAATGGGATGAGTCAGTTGTTTATTGAGCTTCCTTCGCTTGAGGCGTTGGCTGCTGTTACGCCTGCAACCGGCGGTGAGCTGGTTTCTGCTGATTATCTTGATGAGGGGTGGAGGTCTGGGTTGATCTGTGTGTACTTCATTGTTCGAGATGTTGAGGATAGCGTCACGAAGAAGAAGGTCATTCGGTCCAGGACGATACTGGGAACCCTGGAAGATCCAGCTACTGGCAGTGCGGCTAGTGGGCTGGCGGCGTACCTAACACTCACGGAGGGCAAGGCTGGTCAGAATTATCAATACCATGTTGTGCAGGGTGTTGAAATGGGCCGCCGCAGTGACATTGGTGTTGGGGTTACGTTGGATGGCGACAAGATGGTTGAACAGGTTGTGCTGACAGGCACTGCTGTTAGCGTGTCTGAGGGAAAGGTGCTGGTTCCTGCTCACTGAATAAAATAACAACCAAGAGCTTTAATGAGTCATATCGCAATACTTTTCTATCATATCATGTAATAATCCGTCAAATTTTTGGGGATATCCTTTAATCCCACATACCGACTTCGCCCTTTACGACCATACCTCTTTCATTCTTCGAGACCCCCCCCAAAAAAACGGGCTTCGCTAAAATTGCCCGAGAAGTGGTATGGTGATGGTGAGCGAGGGAGCATATAAAACCTTGGAACTTGCTTTCAACGGACATTTCTCAGGCCAATCTGTTCATCAATCCTTACAATCCGAGCTTGTTCTTTTCGATTTGTATTTTGTCAGAGATATCGGAGATAGAGACAAGCCCTGGCTAAAGTATCATCTCAATTGATTCTAAAAATCTGGTCACTCTCTTCTTACCAGCCCGATCATGTCTCTCTAAGCGCCCGCATCAATGGAGGTGCACTGGAATTAACACACACGCCGATTGTCTACTCGGCACTACTCACGGGAGTCAGAAAAATGGAAAGGCAACGCTTCAAATTAAGGTAGCAGCCACACGGATTTGCTCCCCGTAACTTTGTGGACGAAAATTGCGCAAATAAAATTATTATACAGAGTGTCACGGAGGTTCTAAAGGGAGTGACATTTTTAAAATCTACTTGTAAATCTAGTGCTGCGCCACAGCCTGTGATCATTTCTCTTTCGATTCCCCGTGAGGCTGAAAGCTGACTGTGACGTGCGCTTGAGTCATGTTAGGCTGCAGACTGCCCGATTTGACTACATTTATAATTCTACATAGATAGCCAATTTTGTAAGTCCGAACGGTTTGAATATCTGTATTGTATTCTTAAATTTGCACATAAATGGCGAAACTATCTTCAGAGCCTGACCTGGAACCCAAACTCCATCGGTATACACGACGCAGAGAATTACGCGCCAAACCAAAAGGTGTCCGACGGGCAATATCAAAGGCACACCATGTACAGGAGACACGTTTCATCGAGCCCCGGGAGCATGAAGAGTCTCCCCTTTTCAAGAGGTATGAACTCTTACACAATATCAGAATTTCTACTCTTAACATTAAGATCCAAGGTTCTTCTCCCTTCCACAAGAAATAAGAAATATCATTTACCGCAAACTTCTCGTCCAGCCATGCAAATTTGACCTGTGCCACTCCAGCCCATGCAAAATGTCTATGTGCCGTATAAGACCCGGCCCAGATCCACACCCACATCCCTGGAACAGAGAAGGTCCCCAATGTGCAAACTGCCATAGCTACGTCTGGAAACAGCCGCAGGTCCCGATCTTCCAATCCCCAGCACGAAGCCAGTGGGCGCAGCCGCATAAAAATGCCTATCTTTGTGACAATTGCTACTGGGACCTGAATGGAAGCGCGGAAGGGATTCCGTGCATGAGATCTCTACCATGCCTATGTGGAAGGCGTGGGAACTTAGCCATTCTGCTCGCCAGCAAGGGGTTCTGGAACGACGCTGCACCCATCTTCTGGACGGAGAACTGGTTCGCCTTCGAGGATCCCTCTCTCCTAACGGGGTTCTTGACTGCTATTCGTCCACAGGTGAGATCGTGGCTAAGACGGATATCGTTTATGCCTATTCATGCTTACCACCATGATGAACATCCCAGTACGTTTTCACAGTGGCGGGATCCGATTTGGAACGGATGGGACGATATTAAGAGCTGCTGGAATTTACTGAGGCAGTGTGAGGGACTGACAGAGCTGGAGCTTGACGTGGTGTTTTTGACGCGCAAGGAATGGGCTCAGGCTATCCGACTAATTTGTGTCAAGAGGAAAGTTGCCTTCTTCCGTCATTTGGACCCAGGGGCGATGAAATATTTGTTTGAAGAGCCAACGAGCTTTGTGTGGGAGTCGCATGCTCGGAGGAAACGATTCGACTCGCCCACGACTGCTTTGCTTGTTTCTAGCATGACTGGTAACAGAGCTATAAAAAGGAAAGCCCTGATAAATCATTACTCTGAGAATACACTACATCAAATATGTGGTGGCTACGGGGTGGAGTTCACCGAGAAGATGATCGAGGGCCGAAGATGGAATTCATGATAGCGTGTGTCAAGGACGGCGCTTTCCGTCACTTATCAACTTCAAAGCTTCTTTTCCTCAACCAACTCTCTCAACACTTTGATTGTCCCCTCAACCGCCATCTGGCTCATCTTCTTCTCCTTCTCGAGCAAGGCTGCCAGCTCCACCTTGGAGACACCGGGGTGTCTCCATTCGAAGATATACGTCATGTAGAGTTCCCCATTAGCTCCTTGACTAATCACATTGCTGATCTTGCTTCCACCCGGCTGCTCGAAGTCTACCCGGGTAGACTCAAAAGCTGTGACAGTCTCTTGCACTGTTTTCTGGGTTTCGCGGAAGAGGACTTCGCGAACGGTGACGGGGTTTCCGGTTGATGGGTCGACGGAGTCACTAATAACCTTCGTAGATTGGATGGCTCCTGGAACAAATGTCTCTGCAGAACGGATCTTCAAGAGCAGGCCATTCCAGATTTGTTCAGAGGTGAGAACGGGTGTGGCGCCTGGTGGGTTGATCGGGGCGGTGAAGGCAATGTTGTTGGTTGAGGGCATTTTGGGAGGATATGAAAGGAAATTGCCTCAATGATTTGATCAATTATTTAAGGGATTTTGATCAGGGATTTTGTCTAGACTTGAGCCTCTTTTATATTTCCGGGGCTGCGAACAGCAATGACGAAACCGATAAAGCCGATAAGGTTAATAAGCTCGGCGTTACGGCGGCCCGGGCCCCGATGAGCCGGATTTCTAATATTTCTGCCTTAAGCGTCAGGCCTTAAATTTGTCCAATCTGAATCTGTGTTTGTGTCTCAATTAGGCACAGGGCTCGGAGTTAAGAAACAACTCGAATTTAAGCCCCCAAATTGTAAATATGCCGAAATTCTCGAAGCCATTGTACATACGCCCCCCGCTGCCAATTAATGAACTATGTGAATATATGCCTCGGTGATGCCTTTCATCGTGGTTATTATAGCTTACACATATAGGCTGTCGCGTGGCCCTCACTCATGTCCCTGAGGCCTCCACCTGTATAAAGTCGCTAGATATTCATTCGCCCAGCCCGTTCTTGCACATGTTTAAACAATCCTTTAGAGGAAGACTATCACTCGTTCTAATTAAATTCTGTTGCTGACAGTTGCTTTAACGTCTATATCGAGCTGTAATTTAAGTTATCAATTGAAATATAAACCAACCTCTCCTTACGCGGTATTATACATAGATTAGCAAGAAGCTTTTGGGCACTTCGTGTTTGGTGCTGCAATCAATAGTGGAACGTCAAAATAATGAGAGACATAATGACTGGAAGACGCGCATCGGGCCTCAAACGAAGAATCTGGAAAGGAGAAAAGAAGCAATACATTTGAGTATGATTAAATCATTATATGATAGCCTGAACAATTACCAGGTACGTTGTTCAAGATGGACATAAGATGAATCGAATTGAGAAAAAAAGAAACCCCGAGTCCGGTCGGACATTTCGCTCAGCCGAGCCGCCCAATCCGGTAATCATCGGATACCTATATCGGACTTCCCCATTTTGATAATGTAGTACCATGCGGCGAGGTATAGATATAAATATCAGTGAGCTAGAATATGAGAGCCATAAGACCAAGAAACTTTCAGAAACCATAATCCTCACTTCCAGCGTACAAACATAATGACCGATTTCAAGACCGACGACTCCAAGGCTCCGTCCTACACCGTCGATTCAGTCGACTTGGATGATGCCGAGAAACAAGAGCTAAAACAGTGAGTCTTTGAGAGTCCACACCCCCACAACTTCAATTCGGTTTGGAAGGCGCAAGCTGCTAACCAAAGCCCGATTAGTACCAGCCCGATGGTGGATTGCCTAACCCACGGGCCCAGCCAAGTCCCGCTTCTGGATTCCGAATTGCAGAAACCACAGGCAAAAGATATAATACGCGCACTAGCCACAGCATTGAATGATATTGCCGATGAGAAGAAGTGCACCAAGTGCACGGTGGAAAATATCTCGACTCTGATCACAGGCCACGTCCGGGATCTCAGAGCGGCGAAGCGGAGTGGAATGTGGTCTAAAGAAGACAAGAAGGCTCTCAAAGTGGAGATTAAAGGTCTTCTCAAGCCAGTCAAGAAGGATGTGAAGAGCTTGTGGAAAGCGAATTACTGACTCTATTCGTTGTCTTGGGATCCGGTTGGCGAGTGGGCAGGTGTACACTACAATAATTTCATTTTGCGCGTTTCGTTTTCAACGGTTATCAGACAGAGAGAGAAAGAAATGCAATTTTCATACCTGGGAATAATGTATCTTATACTATAATTGGAGACTATCCACGTGCAAAGTGGCCATTTGAATTCCGCTACATATACGAGATGGATCACTTTCCCTTTCCACAAGGCGGTCCTTCGGGGAGGTTTACGCTCCAATAGCACCGATTCGCTCGTTCGCAAGGTCTTGGTTCATGTCCAATTCTTTTGGCCAGCGTGCTGTGTGTATTAGTTCCTTTTTACTATTGCACTATACCTTTGGTCTCTATTTCCTGAACCTACCATTTATCCCAAGTATCCTCTTAAACCCTGCCTGCCTGAGGCCCTTACAACTTTGGGCCCGAAAGGTTAGTGAATTAGCAAATTAGCAATAGCGTTTAAAATTGACCGGTTTTGTGCGCTTGCTTCTCGCCCCTAGTTCCCCGCATCTCGTGGACCGACCCGTCTGCTCTGGAATCATCGTGCACAAACACAACACATCAGTAACCTTATGATCGGCGTTAGGGCTGAAGCGATAACCCCGAGATACGTCCTAATGGGGATATCTGATCTCCGAGAATTGCCTAATGGGATTAACATCTCGGAAGGGTCAATGATAAGGTGACAACTCCGAGAGACGGCCGAATGGGGAAATAGCCCAATATACGAAGCTCATATGTATAAAGGGGATTTCAAAATGAATTTAGTTCTTCATGTGTCTCTTCAATTCATTTCTGATCAATCTCACCGTGGAAAATCAACATGGCCGACAAGACCAGCCAGGAGTCTCCTCTCCCTCAAGAAATTATTCCGCAGGAAAAGCCCACTGGTGGACCATCCCCACCTCCGAATGGCGGTACAATAGCATGGGTCAATGTGCTTGGCAGCTTTATGCTGTACTTCAACACCTGGGGCATCCTGAACACCTTTGGCGCCTATCAAACCTACTATGAGTCCGGTGCTCTCTTCCACTCCAGCTCGTCCGACATCTCCTGGGTGGGCTCAATTGCCGCATTCATGTTGTTGTTTGTCGGCGTTTTTGTTGGACCCATCTACGACCGCGGCTACCTTCGAACACTCCTCATTGTGGGGTCTTTCATGGTTGTCTTCGGGCACATGATGCTGAGTCTGTGCTCCGAATTTTGGCAAGTTGTATTGGCACAGGGATTCGTCGTCGGAATTGGAACAGGTTGCCTATTCGTTCCATGTGTCGCCATTATCCCTCAATACTTCACGACTAAGATGGGCGCTGCAATGGGCGCTGCCGCTTCGGGCTCCGCACTCGGCGGTGTCATATACCCCATTGTTCTGTATCGACTCATCAATGAAATCGGCTTCCCCTGGGCAGTGCGCGTTATAGGATTCATCGCACTGGGCACACTGCTCATTCCAATTAGCATCGTGCGTCTGCGCGTTAAACCACCGAAAGTGCGCGCCATGATCGATCCTTCCGCATTCAAGGACCCGGCTTATCTGGCTTTCGTGTTCACCTCGCTCATTGCGTACATGGGCCTGTTCGTTATCCTTTTTTACTTGTCCTTCTTCTCTGAGGCAACTCGTATCACGGACAGCAGTCTAGCCTTCTACATGGTGCCCATCTTCAACGCAGCTTCGGTATTTGGTCGTACAGTCCCGAACAAGCTCGCCGACCGCTTTGGTCCCTTTAATCTTCTTGTTCCTGCGGCCTTATCCTCTGGGCTGTTGATGTTCTGCATGACGGCGGTGCACTCAAAGTCCGCGGTTATTGTCATGGCGGTACTATCCGGGTTCATGAGTGGTGCGCTGATCGGACTGCCGCCTATGTGTCTGGCTATTCTGACGGCGGACAAGTCGAAGCTGGGCACTCGTGTTGGCATGGGGTATGCGATCATTGCGCTGGGTGTGCTGGCCAGTGGTCCCAGCAGCGGTGCAATTCTCAGGAACGGTGGTGCGTCGCTTGATTGGCACAGTTTGTGGGTGTTCGGAGGTGTTCCGACCTGTGTGTCGGGACTAGGCTACGCGGCGATTAGGGTCTACAAGTATGGGCCAAAATTCAACATCAAGGCGTGATAACCGAGTTTGGCCATACAGAAGAACCATACTGCTTGATTTAGCAGATTCCATACAGCCTCAACCATGAGATTAATAATTAATACCAACTAAAACTGATCCCTTAATTTCCCATTTCTCTCCAACACAGATCTGGGTGTCCGTGCCAGTGAATGCACATGAATACGTTACCAATGGAGGTAATATGATGCAGGAAAGGACTGTTGGATACTGTCGAAGTGCATTTCTTTATGAATACAAACTTGGATCTTGAATGCCATGCCTTCGACGGATTTGGGGAGGTAGCCGTTATTGTGGAGCACATTCGGCGGAGGCTGATGGAGACAATCGAGGAAGAGGCGGAGAAGTTAGGTCTTTGAGTTGGTCCAAGGTTGTATCCTAGTGAGATTCTAGGTATCTTAAAGGCTCACCAGGGGTGTTATCTAGCTTGTTGTGCTACTTCATCTAGTTCAGTTTTGCTCTAACTATAAAGAAAGCATGACGCTGGATAGACAGTAGTGGTGCAGTGAAGCAAGACGCAAATTTAGGTTTACCTGACTCTAACTTAAACCCAGCTTTATACTGGAGAGAAATAGAATAAGATGTGATACATTGAATGATACACATTACTTGAGCACACTTGATATTTTGCTACATGGCACGCTTAAAAAGCCATCGGGATGTCTGAAAGTGCCCGAGGGGAATGCCTATGCTGTGCTACTGCTACTGTTTTTGTGTTATCTATCTACCTGACTATGTACTGAACTATATTGGTTATTCGTCGAGAACGTATGTAATTTGAAATCCTTGTCTCCGGTTACGGCACTCTCGTACGGAACTGAGGCTCACCAGAATGCCCTTGCTGCTGTCTTAAGGTTCGGATATTGAGGTAAGTTCAGTATTGAGCTCTATAATAATGATTCTCCTGATTCTGACTCCACAAAGCTCGGAGGAAATCAGTCAATGTAGCTACCAGCACACCCGGATATCTTGCTATCTGCCAGCCTCCATGTCCTCTATGTAATGCTGACTCGACATGAAACCTAGCTAGTGTGAAAGTGTTATGAACTCTCAGATGGACATGAAACGTCATACATCCAATTGTAAATGCAGTGTTCGAAAGGCAAGCACAATATAGCACATGATGCAACCTGGGACGTTTAGTATTCCTCCTATATCGAGTCCGAACAAAGCCTAGATAGAATGTTAACTACAACGTATGGATATCGTGCTTTTTCTAGGTTCGTGTCGGCTAATATCGTTACATATAGAGCCACTTTGCGTGTGTGAATGGTTCGGAACGGACATGTCAAAAGTGCCAAAACCTAGCACATATTCACAGATAAATAGTCTAGGATTTCTCAATGTCCCTTGGTTCGGTTCCCTCATATCCTTCTACCAAAATCAATTAAATCGAGGCTGTTTCCATTGTACGTTACCATCGAAAAGTCCAGGTTCAATCCCAAAAATGCGTTTCCTAGGTATCCTATCCCTCCTCGTTGCTGTGGCGTACGCTATGCCAATTGAAGAAGCCCCACCGGGCCCAGGAGCACCACCGGTATATATCACATAGTTCTATCGGAATGTTGGACATTTCAACGCTCACATCTCCCACAGTTCGATTGCATTGTATGTTACCGTCGAGCTCCACATACATTCAAGATAAACGCAGAGTTCAAGTATTAATGCCTATGGTTTGAATTAGCCCAACTTTTGGTTCAATGAGTGTCCTCCAACGTGAGTCTAGCCCCATTCACTATAACTTTATATCAACTTGTTCTAAACAAAGCTCAGCCGTCCCAAAGCATGCGCCGGGCCGGGAAATATCAGGGTGTGCTGTGTAAGTGTGGTCAATATTTTATTGAAAGCGATCCTTCAAATTGCATGGTATATATTGACGATGCTAACAACACTAGACATCCTGCGATTAGAAAAAGGCGAAACAAAAGCCTTATCTATGGCTTGGGCATTATATTGATTTATGGAATGAGAGGAAATTTTGTAGCAAATGAATGATGAGATTAGTGCGCCTTACTTCTCCCACACGTATTAATTCGGGGTGTAGTGTTCGGGTTAGATACGGCAATGGGGTCAAAGATTTGGAGGACTTAATAAGTACAAGGACTTACCTAGGTACTACCAGATGATTATTTTACTCTAGCAATATGAGCTATACTAAGTCGTGAACAGGGTGAAGCAGGGCCTGTGCCACCTATATATCTATGACACAGAAACAGAGCTTATACTTTCCGTTGAAGTCTACAACCTATACTGTATGTATTTAGTTGGGGTTCTTGGAAATAGAATTTGCAGGTTCAATTGATGCTGTCAAAGGGTCAGGATTTCTGCATTACCACAACATGATATAGGATCGGATTCCATCGGTTGAATATCTGAATGCGGCCTGAATTAGAAGACATTGCTGTGATACAACGTGATGCAGTCTGTGTGAAGTATACTGCATAAATGAGATCAAACTGCATTGGCAGCGCCAATCTTGCATCCGTATCGAGATCATTGGCGGGATCACCATTCAGGGTTGGCGTTGAAGCAGTCTGGTAATACTGAGAATTGATTACAGCTCTCAAGAACTTATAGCACAATGGCTTGGTTTTGGCTGCAGCGTCTGAATCCCAACGTAGTATACTACGCTGAGGTCTCTACTCCTCAACGTTTGCTCAAAATGTTTTACCGTGATGTCACCTGAACGTGGGGGTTCACTTCCTTTTCACTTCTCACTTCTATTTAAACCCTCACACTCTCACTCTCCCACTTCATTTCTTCATCTACCATCACTCCAGACCATCATGGAATCCATCGTGGCTACCAATGTTATCAACAAGGCGACTCCAATCGCCCCATCTCCTGGCCCAGCTGAAGCTCCGGCAGTGTCCTTTTTGAGCTCCAAGTCTACAACCGCATCAGTCAATCTTGAAGCCAAAGCACCATTCTCAGCTATCCAGGCCCTCTTTGATCATCTCCACACTCACCCTGACGATGTTGCTAAGCTCAACGCAACCTACCCTCATCGGGGCGTCATCAAGACTGCTGCTCTGCACAAAACTGAGTCAGATCAGAAGTTTACCATCGACCTCTCACCCATGCGAAACTCCCGGATTCCGGAAGCTCTACGTGAGTCCCTGGATCCTAATGGCCTAGCCGAGGTCCTCGACTTCTTCAACGCCCTCAGTGCTCAGTATGTACCCACCATACTGTCTTCTCTGAGCATCCTCGCCGGTACCGATCTTGCTGCAGCACACACTTCATACAATATGAACTATCGCCTGTGTGACTACAATCCTAACACGGCTGCCCCCGACTCGTCGAATGGATGCGGAGCTCACACGGATTATGGGACCTTCTCCATTATCTTCCAGGATGGCACGCCCGGCCTGGAGCTCGAAGAAACCCCTGGCACGTGGGTTCCTGTCCCCGGAGATGCCACGGTTATCCTGACTGGTTGGTGTGCGGTTATTCTGAGTGGTGGCCGGGTTTCTGCCGCCAAACATCGTGTTCGCCGTGCCCCGGGCGTGCGTCGATTGAGCGCAGTCTTGTTCGTGGCCCCTGACCTCGACGTGAAGTTGAAGCCTCTTGGTGATTCCCAGCCGATCAGACCGTTCTCCGAGACTATCATGCGTGGAGATCTGGATGTTGAGACTTTCAAGGATGTCATGGGGAAGAGATGGCGATACCGAGAGGGAAATGAAGAGATGGACAATGCGGACTCTCTCTCCCAGGATAACGAGATTGAGAACATGGTATGGGGCTAAGCTTGGGGACGCTAACGTCCAGCCAATCGCTACAGATGGCTTTGGGGTAATTGGCTCTGAGGCGATATGAATAGATAGAATTCGCTTTCTTCGTTTCTGGTCTTTCTGGTCGTGGCTTGGTTTTCTCTTCTCCTCTTTTCTTGATGCGTTGGTACTAAGGCCTCCATCTTTTATGGAGATGCCTGCATAGTTAACCACGCCATTGCAGATTAGAGGCAATTCACTCTATAGCCATGCTATGAGTTTCGTGGCTTTAACATTTGAGAGGTGCTGCTATTAGAATTCCCGTGTTAAACAGATTTGGCTTCAAACCCGTTATACCAATAGTGTACATGGTCTTTGGAGTCAAGGCTCTGCATGCTAGGAAGTAGACAACTATAAACTTCCAACTGCGAGTGTAACCTTCGACCTTGCTAGCAGAAAAGAGGCTTATAACGTTTAGGGGACACTAACCATAAATGGTCTACTGGGAGGAAGGATCCTTGTTCATTCGTAACGGGAGGAATGGACGGGGAGAAAGCCCTGATTCCGCCAGTACCTGAAATCACCCCGCAATTATTGAGGCCGCCAAGGTTTATCATTCTCGGTGAATTTAGTCAAAAATAACGTACTGTCCTAATTCTCCTCCGTCTTCTTTGGTAAAGTCTAAGTATGAAGACCAAGTATGAAAGGAAAACTTCTCGCTGGATTTCGTCATGAACCACATTATGTGCTACGCGGTTATCTTCTTTTCTACAGCCGATCCTAAGTATGAAATAAATATGATAACAGGTAGAAGATATTAAATCGCTTGTCATTGATTGTCATTAAGGAAAGTGGTTGGTATACACAGTATTCAGCTCATACTCCGAGACATCATTCCATCTTCATTCAAGGGAGAGCGGCAGGGGAGTAGCTCTGGTCAGGCTTGACAACCTCACCACCAGCAACCTGCTTATCGGTATAGGCAGGCCAGATAATCTGGCGAGCCTCGTTGACAACAGAGAGGGTAGTGAAACCATTCTCCGCGCCGAACTGGTCGCTCCAGCCGGAGGTGACAGTGTATTCGCCGCAAGTGACTGGGCCTCCGTCGGCCTGGGAGGCAGGGCTGCCCTCCACGATGTAGGTGCAGGGAGTGGCATCGCCGGCGCCGGGGTAGATGCCGAAAGTCCAGGTGCAGGAGGTGTCTTCTTCGTTGCAGACACGCTTGGTGTCCTGGAGGGTCCACTGGGGGCTGTCGGCCATCATGGACTTAGCGGAAGTGTCCGCAGGGGCAGCGAAGGCTGAGGAGGCCAAGAGGCCAGTAGCAAGGAGGAGCTGAGTGAGCTGCATGATGATGGTTGAAAGCTTGGGTGGTTGGGTGGTTGAGTTTGGATTATTTAGTTTTGAAGGATGATGAGGAGGAGGATAGTATGGGAGGAACGGGCTATTTATGTGTTTCCCTACATGATATGATATCAAACTTGAGTCCATTGCAGGTCACATTTCGAAATAGAACTATAGGGATCCATGGATGTAACGTCGAGTCGGGTAACACCTGGAATACGTTGCTCCACAACGGTGTCTTCATTATGTGCGGACTTATGTAGGAGTGAGACAGCCCTACAGCTATGATTTGTGCATATTCTCTCTTGATTTCTCCACATGGCTTGCCAACTTTGAACATAAATTCCTTTTTTTATCTACCTAGGTAAGACATCTTCAAAACCCAACCAATCGGATGATTGTATAGCTACAGCTTCACCCCGCAAATGTGGTCAGACCGTCGATCACCGATGACTCTGTGCCAGATTCTCTTATACGAAGTACGAAGTAACCAAGATTGCATGGTCTGATTTCCAAGGGTCGAGAGAATTATTTCGGGTGAATCCCGTAACCCCGGTTACAGACGCCACGATTTTCACGCCACCCTCAGGAACCCTGGAATGGTGAAACGGAAGAATGATAGAAGTGGGTTGGGACACAAGAAGGATATTCATTGGAGAATAGCTGCTTGGGTAAGAACATTGCCAAGGTGCCCAGATGAAATGGCCTCGGGGCGTCTTTGATGAATAGCCGACCTTCCCCGGACCGCATTCCATATCCGGGATAATAATTAGAGCTGTATTTAGATACACTTTTTACGGAGTATACATTTATAGATCATAACAATTCAATTTCCAGAACCCACACTTAGGCTCCCCATTTTCGTTCTGGTTAGGCCCCCCATCTCTGTGCTGGAGAGTTGAGACGACCTAAATCGAGCAGTTCAGCTGATGGCCAGTTGTCCTTTTTTATCCGCCACGTATCAGCCGCAAGGTGTTCCGAAGCCAAGATCATATTGCAGATGATTCTTCGATTTATGCGGCCTTCAATATGAACGGATCTCGAGTGATCCGGGGCTGCAGTATCCACCAATTCGCTGGTCCTTGTCCCCACTCTTTCGTATTTTCCAAGTAGGCAGTGACCACCTCGTTAAGAGCTTTTGGCTTATTTCCCAGATACGTTGAATAGGCCCCGAATTCGATTTGCGTTGGCTAGTACTTCCGTGAATTCCGATTTGAGGCTGTGAAAGATTTGCCTTTTTCTTGATTATCAGGTCGGCGAGCCTTCTCCCAAGGCGTGCTCCTTCCAATATCAGTTTCACATGACGTATCGTGTTAGGCTAGCCATGGTCCAGGCCACCACTGCCTCATGCCATCAATCCAGTTCAGAAATAATCGAACAAAATTATCCTATCGAAGCAAGTTACCGAGAGCGTGAGAGCGTTGCTGACGGTGGAGTCGGGTTCTACCGCGGTGACCTTGGAATAGAAAGCGCACTTTCCTGTCTAGGAAGGCGGTACGTGAGCTATTTATAAAAGATCCACTCTTTTGCCTCAGGCCATCAATATATCTTTCATAACAATGAGTGGCGAATTTGGTTGTTCATGATGACCCTAAGATCTGGGGACTTGAAGGGGGGTAAACCTGGTTAGCGATCTTACAAATTGCTAGATCCGTACTTTCGGTCCAAGGAAAGCCCACATTCGCGTTCATCCGGGGATCTCCTGGAATCGATGACATCGGGTGGGGAAGTCTAGGTGATCCGTTGACACGACCTGCGGGAACGGTCGCCTGGGAGGTGCACATGAAGCTCGTTGCGGTAGACGGGGCTCGTTGGAATATGGTGGTGCCATCGACCTCGATTTCGTGAGATCCTTCGAACCCATCTTCGTATAGAATGCAGCCGGCTGGAGGAAACTTCCATCTCTGCGGGGAATTTATTGGGAAGTTGCAGGGAAACCGTTTGCTGGTTATATACACCACATCCTCCATGGGAAATGGATATATCAACAAGAACTTATGCTGGGTTTTCTTAAAATGAAAAACTAGCTTTCTACAGTAGCATGGAATCACCAGCTGGGCTTGCCCGTGAGATAAATCACGCTGCGCCTACCAATAGCATACTTGTCTTCATCCCATAGGCAAGTATAGTAGTTTATGGTTGAAACTGGACTTGCTCAGTAAAGAAGTTCAAACCCAGGGGCAAAATCTCTTCTTCACTCGGTAGTGTACATGACATCCGTCCGTACGGTGTACTTGACACCTCTAAACACATCGTCTCCAGCATGGAACAAGTTCCTTTGTTGGAAGATGAGAACAGACCCCGTCTTTGGGAAAACCCGAACCGCCTCTCTCGGGTTCGCCCCAGCCATGAATGAGGTGGCACCGCCTAGAAGAGTCTCAGTCTCCAAAGTACAACCACGGTCGCCAACTTGAACATCCTCGGACCCAACCTCAACAGGGTCAGTATCCCAGTCCTTTCCAAACCCAAACATCAAATTCGACTTCTCCGCCTGGTCAATATGAGGCTGCAGCTCTCCCATATCCTGTTCCCCGTCTCCATTCAAATACAAGTGGATGGTATAAAGTGACCTCTCTAGCCCGTCAGGGGTAACATAACACCCATCGCAATGAGGTCGGAAATAATCCCCGCCCTCATAACGTAGGAACCGAAGGCGCTCATTTAGCCGACTGAGACGGAGCACCTCACCCCGTTTCGCTGGCCCGAGACCTGTAACGAAGGGTTTGCTCTGGACACGGTCGATTTCACACTCGCGTATAAAAGGCATGAGTCGCTCCAAGATTCTGTCGGTAATTTCCGGCGAGTCCAATATAATTCGGTCACTTTTGCGCGAGTCGAGGGACATTACTTGGTTGCCGCCGCCGGCGTTGATCATCGCCTGTTCCCATGCAGGGGGCGACAGGGTTGAGTCTGGGAGTTGAGTCCTTGTTGACTCTTCTGCTAGACGGATGAGCTCTTTGCATTCCGCTTCGGTCAAGACGTTGTCCACTATAACGGCGAAGTGGCCTTTGAATTCGCTGATCGGTGGGGATGTATGCTCGAAATCGAGTTTGTGGAGGGTTGCATTTGGGGCTGGACCCCGGAGAAAGTTATCTGGGATCTTTTGGTCTGTCATTGTTGCTGTGGTCTCAAAATGTAGGAATTCGAATGTTTTTGGTTTGTTTTGGGGGCGGAGCCTCTTCTACCCCACTTTTTTGAGGCTCTGCTCGGGGCGCAGTTGATCCCCACCTGGTGAATTGCGAATTGTCGTGGCAGGACAGGGGGAAAAGAAGCCCTGTCTGAACCCGGCCATCCCTCTAGCTCTTTGTTCTGAATTCAATAATACCTACTCTCAGTGAATGGGCTCTCCGTTCATTTCGTACATATGTATCCAGCCTTGCTGAAGTAACCAAACTTGAATTCGTATCTTGAAGTCCACATCTATTGATGAACGAGCTCTATCACACTAGCTAATCACTCCCCCAAGGATCGATGAAAAGACATTCGCATCTCCTCGAAATTCTCGTCAGGCATATCAGCCCTCTCACTTCCGGTGAGTCCACGCCTTGTCTGCTTGTAGAGTGTGACGAAACACTTCAATCAGCTTCATTGTAGCATCAAGGAAAGCTTGAGATTCGTCGAGCAGCTAAGACTGATTAGCAATTATCCAGAAATTCTAGGGTTGTTCTTGTGAGTCGATCATACCCTGATACATTCATCAATTTCCAGAATGCAGCGGTTGCATAAGGCCCCGTCACGCTTGAGGCAGTCGTGTGTTGGTATCTGGTCTGTGTGGGGTATGCCGAAAGATTCAGATGCCTCGCCTGTCCTGTCCATGATGAATTTCAAGGTGTGAAAGTTGCTGTGCTGATTGATGTTGATGGGTCCCGGTGAAGGTTGATAGGAAGTATCGGATGATGGGCTACAGGAGTTTTTATAGACCAGACAAGGCCAAGACAGCACGCTGGAGAGCTCATTCTACAAAGAAGTTTGCAGAAGTGAGACAATGGAGGACTTGTTCCATCCAGTCTCTATAGCTTCGTTGGCAAACAAAGCGACATAGACTGCACCCGGTGCGGCTCCTTAGTATTTTTGCGTCTAGATCATTCTGTAACAGGAGTAATTCTTATTCATCAAAGCCGTAGCTTCATTAGCAAAAGCTTGTTTCAAATTGAACTCACTCAGAGTAAGACCGGCCACTCATGGTCAAATACACAATACAAAGGTAGTATGATGAAGCCGTAATTCAAGACAGTTACTATGAATTAAAGACCTTTCAAGACCTTTCAAAGGAAAATACCCGAATCAAATATGCAAAGGAATGAAAGTGCACCAAGTGTTTCTAGCCATGGAGCCCTGGGGTACCTAGGTACCTCCAGGGCTGAAAAATAAGATTATGTAAACATTGCCTCAGCCACTTGTGGCACAAGGAAATGTGGCTGGAGTTTCCTGATTGGTTCACGGTCCATCCCATCTCTCACATCCTCCCATCCACGCATTACTGGAACAGCTTTAAGCAACAAAAATATCATTATCTGTCATCCAACATCAAAACACACTCTCTTATTCGACTCTGGACATTTTTATTTGACACTTCATTATATAACAGACGATACAGGGTGATCTCATCGCCCGCAAAACAATCACTGCGATAACTCGTTGCCTTCCACCTTGCTTGATTGTGCACTTCGAAACTCAGGTGCCTATTCAAATATATATCTATATAAATTATCCCTTGAGGCCAATTTTGCGCCATTTTCGGGACATATTTGACCATTCAATCGAGTCGCTCACAAAAAGCCATGTCAACTGCCCAGTCGATGGCTGCTACCAATCAGAACTCCACCCAAGGGCCGGTGACTGGCACCAGCGAAACTTCAGGGCTGGACTCGGAGATTCAGCTTGTTTCATCGTTAGCAAAACTACAAGAACTCGAACGCAAGGTAAGTACAGGAGCCCTTGCAACTCCACCACAAAACCAAGTTAACAAGATATCCAGATCCATGAACTGCGTGGATTCATGCCTCAAGGCCTACTAGAACCTCTAGTGCCTATTGCAAACCCAGATAAAGTGGCACTCGGCAATCCAGTCGCTGAAACACCGCGGGTTCTCCGGGCTAGTCTGGATGAGACCGCACGCGCACGCGTCGCTGATGTCCAGCAATTTCAGTCCTTGTGGCGGGATCCGGAATTGACATCCGTATGGGCACATGTTGAATCACGCATCAAGGAAGCCAACGGTCAGCTTCTTCAGCCGACGGGGAAGTGGGAAAGGGATTATGACGTTCTTCTAGAAGAGCTAGCGCAAAAAGAAAAGTCCAAAATAGATGAGCGCCAGCGCGAGGACGAAGAGGCTGAACGTACTAAAGCGCAGTCTACCGAGGGCGAATGGAAGAATGTTTTGGAGCGATTTGTTCAGCGGGATATGCCCGGTGTACGGGTTATCAAGGACTTGGATGAGACTTCTCTAGCAGTAGCACTTGTTAGAGCTGGTGTTGTCTTCCAGGTGAAAGGAGTATCTTTCCCTGGCTCCCCGATCTCTGGCTGGGAGGTTTCAAGCAATATCGCTGGCCGGTCACCTACGAAACTTGAGAATGCTATACTGGGATGTGTGGAGTCACGCCCACGGAAATGGGACCTTGCTTTCTTGCTGGTATGTTATGTTTCTGACTCCGAAGGAGACACTTGCTAATACCGATGCAGGATATGATTTCTTCCTATGCGGATATCAAGCAGACACCATGCGTGAAGTGCAATCGCCTGACTGATAACGGCGCCCAGCTGCCAACCCTCCGACGACCTCAGGCGAATCAACAGTCTGTTGATGGGCCAGCGCGTATATACACCTTTGACGCATTGCACTATGGGTGCGCCTGATTGGAGAACCTGGGCAGGTCTCCCTACCTTGGAACTTGGAGGAATTTTAGAAGGCTGTCGCCCCATTGGCCTACATCTTTCATCAGGTTTTGGGGAAAGAATTATTGGAACATTCTAAGCGATCTCTCTGGATTTAAAAACACAACATCATGTAATTACCCTCCGACACCCACATTTTCCTTTCACCACTTTCCCCATCCCATCAATTGCCATCAACGACTATGCTTCCCATAAATACTATCATGCCAAAATTCCGCCGGATACTCAACCCCATTCCGATCCCAATATCGCATCGGCACACAGTGGACCTCCTCCTTCCCGACCCATTCCCCCGTCGAACCCTGCTCCCATTGCAATACTCAACAGCACTCCAGGTCCCATGATCCGGGACGTGATACTTCCTCGTGCGGAAATCATAGCGTTCGCCCGCGGGCTGTCGCACCCAGGGAAGTGGGCTGTAGTTCGAGTCTGGGTCGTTGGAGTTGCTCTCCCATCGGGACCATTCTTGTCTTGTGGGTCCGGACCGGGATCGAGAGGATGATCTCCTGGTCTTGGTTTTGAGCTGGTCAATTCGGCCCACGTAGATGTCTGGCCCTTTGCCTGTTAGGACGTCAAAGAGGCGCCAGCGGCGTGGCCAGTGTTGTGGGTTGCCGGGGCGTGGATCCTTGGGCCAAATCCAGCCTAGTTGGGAAGGCATTGTCTTTTTTGAATCCGGATACTTTGTCGGTGGTGCCTTCGGAATGATGTTGGGTATGGAAAAGTTAGGCTAGATGGTTGGTAGAGATTATTTTCATGGGTAGGAAGGAGAAGAGATAGGAGATCAAATGGCTTCTTTTATATTCTACGCTTGTAAATCCCAGTCAATGGACGCTTGAATAGCTTCCCGTGACTTTCTTTATCTGTAAGACAGACTCCAATTGTCAATTGTAAGAAGTAAGACATCAAGCTTTGTGTATTCGTTTGTCTTTGCGCAGGAATTGAAATAGAACTGAACGCCTCATTCCTCCAGACGTCGCAATAAAGGGAACATCACGGCTGCGTGCATATATTTCCATAGGCAGAGGATGGTTCAGACGATCAATAAAAGAGTATCTATGTATTTTATCTTTTTATTGGGGCAACATACACAACCCCATGTAGCCAGGTGCACCCTTCCCGGCATCCTTTAGGCATAGATCGAACTATCTAAGTACAGATCATACAGGCCGACTAATCCATGGATAATCCATGCAGCGACTAAGCGAACAATGACCCCGGGGCCCTTCCAAGGTTAGAAATGAAACACATAAACATCTTGTTCCAGAAATGTCTCGATTCTGATTTTGCTTCATTAACCTGGCATTCTGAACATTAATACCATCGCATCAAGCGACATCTCTTCAACACCATGGCTCTATCAAATTACCGGGCGAGGTCCCCAGCCCTAGGCCAATGGATCGCAATAAAAAGGGTCCATGCCACCAAGACTATGTTCGGCACCAAGACCACCGCACCGTAAGCCAGTCAATTCCCGAAAGATGATATTCAAAGAAGAGAGGGAGACAAGGCCTACCGACACGCTGACGTCTGCAACATAGACTTCCAGGAAGGTGATTCCCACCAACAAGTCTATGTATCTCAAAAGGGGATATGAGGCAGTAGGGGAAAAGCTCCCAGCAAGGGAAGAACCCGCCTGCGGGTGTCACTCGGGGAGCCAACACCGAAGCTACAGCTCCCACCCAAAGTAATAGCAAGGCTAAGAACATCGATCAGACAGATATCAAGAAGGGAGCCATGGCCCCAAAGCAAGGACCTCAAAGAGGAGCAGTAGGTCAAGGAGGACAATCAGGAAGAGACCAACGAGGAATCCGGACTGCAAAACCAGGCCGCGCAAACAGGAACCCCAGGGCTAAGAGGGACAATCGAGAACATACTAATGAAGAAGTCATGACCACAAATCAAGGCAGTACCCCTCAGAAGGAGTCCCATCGCCAGGGCGATTTTCGAAAACAAATAACTTCCAATCCTGACATCAACAGCGATCTTCTCAGCAACACAACAACCCGCCATGTCTTTCAATCCAAACTATGCGGGCCGTCAAGGCAATGCTTCCCATCCCTGCCATGTTCACCAGCAAAGCCCTGTCATCCAGCCCGGCGATCTCTACCCGAAGGGTGATGTCAACCATCGGCGGGTCAATTCCCCGCAAACCATAGTGCCTATGGACGATGAAGAATATCAGGCCTATAACAGAGATTATCACAGTACTATCAGTCAACAAGACATGACCCAGCAACTTGATGTCCTTGGGCAAGGCTTCGATACTCAAGAAGCAAGCAATGCTATCCAGCATCCCGGTATCCGTTACCCAGAATTTTCCTCCCAAGCACGCATGCTTCTCAACCCATTCAAAAACGACATTGGCAACGTCCACCAGCAAGCTGATAACTACCAAGGCATTTCGCCCGAAGCACCCATGGCTTTTGAGCAGATCAACGAGAGTGACATCCACCCGCAACCCAATACCCATTGCCACCAACCCTTTTCACCTCAGGAAGTTATGGACCTAGAGCCATTCAACAGCCAGCACAATGAACTCTACCAGCAGGGAGTCGACATGAACTCCCAAACTGACACGAATGGCCGTCAGCCAAACCAGGCGTATGAGGCATACAGTCCCAACGCCGCAGACCTCACCAAGACCGAAGCCGCCGCTAGGGAATCTAGAATAGGAAAGGCAGAGTGGCTGCGAAGGGCTTTGGACCAGCCATTCGACATTGATGTTATGCTTAGCTGTAACAACGTGCTACTGACCACAACTGCCAACTTCCCTATGGCCGGCCTTACGAACTCCTACGCGAAAGATCAAATCAGCCGTCCAGTGGATACCAGTCGGAACCTCGAGCATGATTGGATCATGGGAACCCTGAAGGTCAACCTCATCTACCTCGAGGCTCGCCGGCGCCGTGAGCAAGCCGTAAAGGAAAACAAAGGCTAAAGTGAGGCCCAGGTGAGACTTGCTGTGCCCGGTGCCAGATCGAAGTCAAGTCGAGTAGGAAATCTGTCCGTGAAGTGAGGATACATTGAGGAAGAATACCTTGAAAGGGAGGGTTGATGCAACAGAGGTTGTATTGTATGCAAAAATAAAAGATACTAAAAAGAAATCAAATTCAACCATCACCGCTTATTATAAGTAAAATAAACAGATTAGACAAAGGGTGAAATGCAAAAAATAAATAAATAGACATGATAATAAAAGCATCACGCAACGCCGTCTTCTTGCTATTATCGTAAATCCAGATCGCTTCAAGAATGCAACGCCCCAAAATAAAAGAAATATGTTCGTGACAAGTCAATTCGAGTGCACCAAGTGAGTGCTTTTCAAGTGGCGAGAACGCCAGCACTGCCCGCAAACCAGGTGAACGAAGCGAACGTGATCACGGCCATGCCGACAGTGAATTTGATGGCTAGGCGACTGGTTTCGGACAGGGCGCCGCTACAGGTGGCACACTTGAATTCTGGACAAAGGTTAGCAGTCTGTTCAAACGAGGATGGTTTAAATACTCACCATTCAGTGGGGTGTACGGCTGGGGGGTGTACATCCCAAATACGTAACCGCCGTTCTGCGAGCTCAAATGTCCGGCGCTTGCGACATCGCTGATTTCTTTGTCGGCATCATAGACGATCAGAGTATACGACGCGGTAAGCAACGGAATGGTGGCCGACTTCTGGTATTTTCCAGTATCCCACACGATGCTTCCAGTCTCCTTCACGGTCATGTTGGAGGAGAGCGTATATTTCATAGCGTTGAGACTGCACGAAGCCACGACGTTAACCGCAGACGGCGTGACCGACAAGGAGGTATAGTTCCACACAAATGTCACATCCTCGCCGATCTTGTAGTAGGTCGTTGACGAGGAAGCGGGGGTGATCATGGACACACCGCCAGGAGCGGCAGCAGGGTCAATGGAGATCGAGCTGGTAGCGGTAGTCTTGCTTTTTCCTGTCTTCGTTCCAGTTTCTGTGCCAGTCTTCTCGGAATCGGTTGCAGTGCCTGTTTTTGTGTCGGTATTTGAGTCGGTATTTGTTCCGGTGGTGGTTCCGGTAGAAGTCTTAGGGGCAGCGGAGGCATCCGTGGTAGGTTCGGAGGGTTCAGCTGCTGTTGTCTCTGTGGTGTCTGAACGGTAAGTCAGCATCAAGGGTACAATGGTAAGATAAGAGCCCTCAATTACCTGCTCGCTTATCCAAGGAACCACCCAGGAGTTCTCCATAGGGTGGCCATGGCCAAGCCGATGATATGGTTCCCAGCAACAGGATGGTGCAGAGCACGCTCAAAATGAAACACCGCATGTCGAAGATTGGAAAAAAAGATCTGGAGGTTCGAAAAATTAAGCGACCGAGGTATTACTCCTTGGGCCGAAAGGCGGATTGATCACGCCCTTGCACAACCCGGTGTGACCTGTCAAAAAGAAAGAAAGGCGTCGAAACAGGCTTATCGATTTGGTTTCGGTACCCAGCAATTTCGGTTGCTACGGAAGGACGATCAAAAGGACGTGGAGTGCAGAATATGGTATTGATCCCCCTGACCAGTCTTGGCGCTAAAACATGCAGATCTCGCGAATGTGGAATTTCGAAACGATTGTAAATAACTTCAGAGCAGTAAACGAATGTCTTGACAGATAATTGGAGAGAAGGGGAAGAAACAGAGAAAGAGAAGATGCGATGTTTGAGTATTGCGGGGCTAAGCCCAAATAGGTAGTGGCTGTCCAGCATGTGAGACATCGGCTATTTATAGGCAAAACTATTGGGAGTGTGACTTATTTGACTGTACGGAGTATCTATCTCTTCAATTATGAGCTCAAAATGACCTTTAAATTATAAAAGACATGGTCATTTCTCATTCTTCATTTTATTAAGTGAGTGTACAGAGTATATCACATCAAACTAAAAACAAAGGTCCGTGCAATATATACTTCAGTTTCAGGCACAATATAAGTGATACTTCAATCCATCCTGGCAAGATACTTACCTAAGTCATTAGGAGTTTGGCCAGCATCCCAGTCATTCCAAGGATATACAACCAAGATAAGCAAATGATGGCCATAAACCATAACATACTATAGTTGCACAACGCAACAAAACCGCAGAAGAGCCATCAACGACAAAGTCCTTATCACCCAGCGGCATATTTCTTCTGGTCCTACTGTGGAGTACATATGATGTAACTATTAAAACCGATGTTTGATGTCAGCCGTGTTGTAAACCCTCACACCTACAAAACTGACAGCGAACCCAAAGTAGACATCTACTATCGCCACCCAGCTGCTGGTACCCAAGGTCGGGCATGTCTCGGTTCCGCCGAAGAATTTTCCCAAACATGGGGGTGGCGGTCTAACCACGGCCATGGACATCCCAAGACCATTGGGAGTACAGGGATTGGAACGGAGAAGAACGATGGGTGGGGATATATGATACTCTCTACTATTTCTGATAGGGAGACACGGAAGAATAGAGTGGATGTGGCGCTGGTGGAGATTTGTATAAAGAATTTGATATCGGAGCACTCCTAGGACATCCATGGATCTCAGGATAAATAACTAGTAGAATAATCAATGTATTATCAATTAAGCCTGACTTATACGCTGAAACGTGAAATTAAAGTCCAGTAAAAGTTCCAAATCTCGAAGGGAACACAAAAACTAGAAAAGCACGTATCACAATCTGATGTCCGCGACGAGATGAAATCCCAATTCCCTCTAGGCAGAGCTCTTGGGAACAGGGTTGAGCTGGATTCTGTCACATCCAGCAGGGAGAGCAGGCTCCTGGACGGTCTTGCTGAGGAAGTGCAAGTTGGGGAACAACTGGCCGGCCTCCACATCGGCGGGGCACCCTAAAAAAGAGGAGTCAGCCATTTGCACTCGGCACGATCATTCCTTGGAAAGGGGACATAGTAAGAACTTACACAACCATCCGTCCCAGGTCTCACTGGGTCCCTGGACTCCGTGGCGGCCGATAGAGAAACCCTTCGAGCCACGGGTGGGATTAACGCTGATCTGGGCGCGCTCCTTGCGGACACCTACATGGTACCAATATCGTTAGCATTCGGGTTCAGGAAACAGTCTCATCCAGAGCCGGGCAGAGCTATCTTACCTTCCACGTTGATCAAGTCGAGGGTCCAGGGGGCCTTGGTCTCGGTATCCAAGACGATGGTGCCGTTGACGAAGGAGAAGGCGGCGGCGCGGCTGGCCGGGGCTCCCGAGAAGACAGCTTCGCTGTTGAGCGGGTCGCTGATCAGTCCGTGGCCAACAGAGAGGTACAGGTCGTTGTGGGAACTGTTGCTGGCGCCGGAAGTCTTCAGGTTGAAGAGCTTCTCGGATGGGGCGGCAGCCACAGCGGTGGCTAGGAGAGCGACGGTGGCGAAGAACTTCATTTTGGATGGTAGGTCAAGAGGTTGGGTTGGGAAGATTTGAAGTTAACGGTTGGTTGAGGAGGTTTGATTGTTTTTATATCTTCTTTGCAAGAGAGGGGTAGAATTTTGACGGGGAAGTGACGCATTTATATGCTTTGGGATATCCACGGGAGACAGTCGATGAACACATGCTCCACGGTGGAGTATAGGGCCGACTGTTTCGAGTTTCCAAGGCTGATGCAGATCCTCCGTAGGCATTCTTGAGATCAAAATAGAAGCCGCCATCGGTAAAGTATAGAACTGTCAAATTATGCTTCTTCTACTTCCCTTGACTCAGTCTTCTGGCGATGTCACTCTCATGCTTTTTCCTTTGTTTTTTTTCTTTGCAGCATGCAAGGCACTGGCAGCTTTGGGCTGACATAACTGCGGCTGCAGGATCTTGCCTGATCCACGCTGCTGTATCAGAACCTGCATATATGGGGTAAACGAAAGGACTAACGCACCGGATACTGATTACAATCGACATCCTGGAAGTCATTAAGTGGATACCTGACTACCTATACCATCCGAACCAGTCATGATTGTGATCGAGTGCAGATCACACCCACTGGTACCCCTTCTATCCATCAATGGAAGCAAGACAAAGATTGGTGATCTCAATGATGTGCTTCTGCCCCTATGATAGGGTTTCACAGTGATCTCAGGTGAATTTTGTTTCACAGATGATTTCATATGAAAAGAAAACACATCAATCATACTGAAACCCTTTCACCACTGAAGTAAAAGAAGACAAACGAATGCCAAGAACCCGTGGAGCCTTTTCCCCTGAATTCTGTCTGGCTTGTCGATGAATATCGGGTCGTTGCGACTCTACTTTGCATAAATGAAAATCTCTTGCCTATTTGGCTCGGTATATCCTCGCTTCTATATTTTGTTCTTGCATCATTGATAATTTGTGGTTCCACCAGAAATAGAACACGGCTGAAAACATGGAAGTTGAGGGCCATTGGAAATATTATTAGAATATCCGGCCCCTTTCTTCGATGAATTATCGGGAAGTACGGAGTAGCATAAGGCACCGAAATACTGACATGTTCTTTCATACTTGGCGTACATCATGGCCAGTGTATATGAACGCATGTGGCTTGAGTTAAACGGCAACTTGCCTCTATACGTGCTAGGAGCCCTTGGTACTGTCCCACGGGGCGTTTTAAGCATATGCCTAGCGGATACCGTCTACGGCAATGAAGTAACTACTATAGGTATGGATTATGCAGTACTTAGAACACTGTGGTCAACTGTACAATTGCATAAAGGGTATCGGCATTGTCATTGTCATTCATCATCTCGTGAAACCCACTATCGTACATGAATATCCCCAGAGTAAAAAGGAATATAGCCTGCTCAATGTTTTGCCTCGGAATGCCCCCACTCCACTGGCTGAACGATCACCGACCCCGATTATTGACATTCCGGGCAAATTCAGGCTTCAGTGTCCACCGACCCCGACGATCGCGACCATGTTCAAGTGTCGCAACCTTCTTCAACGACTCCTGGAATTCAGCAACACGCTGCGGATTGGAGCAGTA